TTTCTCTATCTACATTCATTGACAGATCTTGGTTCCAAATCTTCATCTTGTTGTATTAATTCAACTACAACATTATAAGCAAAAATATTATCCACTACAATATTATTTCGATTCCACATTTTTCTCGTCGAGACATAATTTATAGAGATTTTCTCATTCTCATTATTTTCAGGTACATGAACCTCATCTTTGGTGTCATCATTTATTATGTCTCGGAGCTCTTCATGAGCAATTGCCTCCATATGATAACTATCTTGATCATTTATTCCTTTCCTTTTCCGAGGATTTTTATCCTTGGAACCAATTGGTCTACCACGTTTTAAACGTGGTCCAGACCCATTTGCCTTAACATTTGTCCTATCGGGACATCAACTCGAACTTGAGCATTAGCAACTGGGATGTATAATTTAGTAACCCGTGGAAGGTTAGTAAATGCATCCGACAGTTGATTTGCAATATTCTGCAAATAAATTATCTTTTGAACTTCTTGCTCACATTGATTTGTTCGAGGGTCTAAATGAGACTGTGAAAGTGAATTCCAATCTATCTCATTTCCCAACTGCTTTTGTTCTCCCCCTAATGTTGGGTATACTGATTCATCAAAATTACAGCAAACCTTGCCATAAATAAATCTCCAGTCCTGGGTTCCAAATATTTTATAATAGAACGAGATTCATACCCTACATATATCCCCAACCTTCTTTGGGGACTCATTTTTGTGCGTTGTGGTAGAGCAATTGGAACATATACCGCACAACCAAAATTTCTAAGATGGGAAATGTTTGGCTCCGGACCAAAAACCAATTGTAATGGGGAGATGTCATGATAATTGGTTGGTCTTATGCGCGTGCCGCTGCATGCAAAATAGCATGCCCCTAAATCGAAACAGGCAACTTTGTTCTCATCAACAATGGTCTAGCTATCAATTAAAGACGTTTAATCAATGACTCTGTTAAACCATTTTGAGTATGAACATGTGCAACATGATGTTCAACTGTTATTCCAATGGACAAACAATAATCATTAAATGTCTGAAATGTAAACTCACCAGCATTATCAAGACGAATTGTTTTTATTGCATAATCTGAAAATTGTGCTTTTAACCTTATTATTTGAGCCAACAACCTCGCAAAAGCTATATTGCGAGTTGATAATAAGCACACATGAGACCATCTTGTAGATGCATCTATCAAGACCATATAATATTTAAATGGTCCACATGCAGGGTGAATAGGCCCACATATATCACCCTGTATTCGTTCCAGAAATGCGGGAGATTCCACTCCAACCTTAGTCGTTGATGGTTTGGTAACCAACTTTCCTTGTGAACAAGCAGCACAAGAGAATTCCTTTGATTGAAGAACATTTTGGTTCTTCAAAGTATGCCCATGTGAATTCTCAATTACTCTGCGCATCATATTATAACTGGGGTGACCCAATCGGTCATGCCAAATGATAAAATCATTAGAACCAGTAAACCTCTTGTTTACTACGACATGTGATTCAATTGTACCAATATTTGTATGGTACAACCCAGAAGAAAGTGCAGGCAATTTTTCATGCACGGTTTTCTTCTCCGCATTTACTGTAGTAATATAAAGGTATTCAATATTTCCTTCATTCGCAGTCTCAACATGATAGCCATTTTGGCGAATAACCTTGAAACTTAACAAGTTTCTATGAGACTTACTACAATACAATGCATTATCAATTACCAATAATGTTCATCCAGGTAGTAATAAGGCTGCTCTTCCAGAGCCCTCAATCAATTTTATACTATCGGATATTGTATTAACATATGCCTTTTTCATTATCAAATGAGAGAAATATGTCTTTTCTCTTAGTATCGTATGAGTTGTGGCACTGTCCAGAAGACACATATCTCCATTACTCATCTTAGATCCAACTGAAGATTGAGAAATTTTATTTATCTTCAGAAAAATAAAAATACATAATAAAAAGTACGAAACTTAACAAAAGAAAATTTAAGTACATGAACTTTAAATAAGACATTAAAAACACATAACAACATTATTCATTTCCAGTTCAATTATCAATCTTTAATTGTGATCTCCAAAGAAGTCCTCAGCTACTAAATGAGTAATATCATTGAGCCTATCAAAAACATCATCTTTCAATGCTAAATTTGCCTCAACATTCTCATCATATTCTTGAGAAGATCTTGCCTGAACACCATCTTTGAGAGTCAAATGTGACTCCACCCGGGCATTAGAAGAGGAGGCACTGCCTTTATTTCCTTTCCTTTTGAAGGAATTTTGATACATCCTGACAAAATGCTTAGGTGCCCGACATTCATTTTTCCAGTGACCTTTAAGGCCACAACGATGACAGTGATCACTATTTCCTTTAGAAGGATTATTTTTAGAACCAACATTGTTCTCCCTTTTGTTATGACCACCATCTCGACGATTATTATATCATCTTTTGTCATTGCCACGCCCACGCACATTGTCATGGCCCCGATTATTTTGTCTTATTTCAGACCGGTCGTGTGTTTCTACCCCGTGTGCCTCTGGCAATGGAGCACTTCCAACGGGACGGGTTTCATGATTTTTCATTAAAAGGTCATTATGCTGCTCAGCCACCAAAAGGCATGAGATTAATTCAGAGTATTTTTTAAAACCCTTTTCACGGTATTGCTGCTGTAATATCATATTGGAGGCATGGAAAGTAGTTAATGTCTTTCCCAACATGTCCTCATCTTTTATAACTTCCCCACATAATTTTAATTGGGAAGTGATTCTAAATACAACAGAGTTATATTCAATTACAGTTTTATAATCTTGAAACCATAAGTACATTCACTCATAACGAGCCCTTAGCAATACCGTTGCCTTGAGGTGGTCATACCTCCCTTTCAAACCTATCCACAATTCAAATGGATCTTTCACTGTTAGGTATTCAACCTTCAGGCTATCATCAAGATGATGACGATGGAAAATCATGGCCTTCGCTTTATCTTGACTTGATGCTTTATTTCCTTCAATTATACAATCACCAAGACCCTTAGCGGTAAGGTGAATTTCAACATCAAGTACCCATGACAAATAGTTCTTTCCAGAAATGTCAAGTGACACAAATTCAAGCTTTGACAAATTCGACATGATGAAAACTATCATAAAATAGTTGAGTTAATAACATGATGTGATTTCTTTATAATAAAAGATAAATTTATGTTTCAAATGATTAAGAATTAGTATAAAGTATATTATATGCATGAACATAGAATGTTACAAAAACATGTAAACTCATAAAGTATGAAACGGTAGATTTAATATATGTTCTAATTATTTTTCAATATTTACTTCTAGTTTCAATAGTTATTAACGTCAAACTTTTGTAAGGAACATAGAATGTTACAAAAACATGTAAACTCATAAAGTATGAAACGGTAGATTTAATATATGTTCTAATTATTTTTCAATATTTACTTCTAGTTTCAATAGTTATTAACGTCAAACTTTTGTAAGTTTTTCAAGTCATATTTAATATAATATACTCTCTTTATGACACACAAATGTTTATCATAATTAAATCTATGACAAGAAAATATTTACAAGTCTTCTAACTAGCATGTTATCACATTTCCTACTATTTAATTTAGAGTTATAAGTTAGTAGCATATAAACAACATAAACATATAAATATGAAACGTATTGATTATTATGCCTAATAAAGTATTATAATAATACCTAAAGCAAGTTATATATGCAGTAATTAATTACGGATCAAAGATTTATGCAAGTCCTATTAGAGATATTATAAACATATAAATGTATACCTGACTCTAAAAAAAAGTTGATTAACTTTTAGGAATTAATTTTGAATTAAGTAGGTCTCAGTTGGTTAGAGACTCGTGCTGATAACGTGTTGTAAAATGAGAGCAAAATATAATAATACTAAACAAGTAAGGAAGACAAATTGTGATGAGAAGTATAAAGTGGAGAATATTATTTAAAACTCTTCAAGTGTGTTCTCACAAGGGTGAAAAGACTACCCTTTTATAGGATTTAGAAAACACATGTTTTCATCTTTTAACCAAATACGTTAGTACAACTATAATAAATACAATAAATACATACATTACGTTAGAGATGAATTAAGAGAAACATCCACACAATTAAGTGAATTTGTAACATAAAATATATTTTATATAATATCAGGTTGGTTTGATCCCAAATTGACTTTTTTTTATTAAAACCAAATCAATCTAAATATAATAAGATTTTTTTTCAATACCAAACCGCCACTAATCAGATTTTTTTTTAATTAGACTCGATTTTAAATTTGATTCGATTTTGTCTACCTCTAACACCAATATTTGTCAAACTTCTTTTTCATTCTTTTTATTATTTCACTTAAATTTGTTATTTCATTTTCATCAATTGATTCAAGAAGTATCAACTCCATTGATTTCTTGAAAATTACATTTCGCTCTGCTAAAGTGTTGCAGATCATTGACCTAGATATCCATATTTCACAGAAGTTGGATACATAAGAATAAATAATCTATTTTCAGTCAATTTCTCCTTTTGGGTATGCTTTGATAGCTAGTATTACTTGCAACGATTATGAACATCTCCTGCATATTAATATTATACTGTAACTATACCAATGCAACAAACACTAGTCCGCAGTCTCACCTGAAAACGTTCCTAATATTTCAGTTTCCGGGGTTTAACAGACCTTTGATTCTCTTTGATAACCATAGTCTACTTAGTTTAAACTGTGAATAGAACTTCTAATATAAAACACTGGTGCACATACCTTATGTGTTGGCTTTTAACATAAACCATAACCCCTCTTGCGCAAGCACCTAGGCGTGACCACTCCTCCTTATGGCAGGACAACTCATCTTACCTGAAAACGGATGGAGAAAATACTTGGCAAATCTTCTTGAATTCTGGAAAGGGCTAATATTTCCAGTCGATTTACCAACTTGGTTTAGCACTCAAGTTAGCTATATATACAAACAATCAACTTCCAAACAGTAGCACGCAATGCATCATTATCTTCTTTTCTTTGAAAGATCATATAGCATGGAAATACATTGATGGTTCCATGCAGCCAGGAACACTTACAAGTAGAACTATCAAGTTTTTTCTACTTTAACTATGTTTGACAGTAAAGTTTATCCAGACAGTACCCTCTACAGAAACGGAGAAAACATACATGCACAGACACCTTAAATACAACAGTTAAAACAGAATGGAAAAATTATGCAAAGAAATGAATGAAAAAATGGTGGCCCCTTCTCATAGTACTATAGTCAGCACTTTGCATTGGCGACAACCCATTGAGGCAACCTTGCTCCAGAAAAGGAAGCTGCAACATCAACAAATTCTTCAGCCTTGCTTGCTCCCCTCAGCTTCAGCCTTCTTATGATTGAACCTCACCACTATGCAAGTAATATTATCAGCACTACCCCGAGTAAACGCAGTTTCCGTCAGCTTCCTAGCAGCTGCTTCTGGCTCTTCTTCTGCTTGAGCCAGTGAAATAGCATCCTAGAGGAGGACAACAACATCAGTAACTTAACTCAGAGACGTCTAAAGAGATTATCGACAAAGGAGGACGAAGCCACTTCAGAAGTTTAGGCTCTGAGTTCTGACAAAAGGAAAAACAATCTCCTAGAGTGCTGGGGATATAGCCTAAATATCTTCAAGTTACACTCCACCAAAAGGAGGCCAAAGGAGGACAGGAAACAGCGAGAAATAAGAGGGGGTAAGGAAGAAAACTAAAACTAAAGCAAGCATGCATGCATGCACAGGACTTACCTCATTTGGTACAACATCCCAAAGTCCATCACTAGCAAGCACGAGTAGTTCTACTTCCTCATCAATCTCTTGATCCTGAAACATATTGAGAGACGATGAATGACTTCCATAAATATCAAATGCCTTCAAGGCTCCAACTCATTTGTTTCGTAAGTAAATCCTTCCAACTTAGCAGGCCCTTCACCCTTCTCTCAGCCCATAATCCAATTTGGTTAATGGCTTAATTCTTTTATATACATAGTTCTTTGGTCCCCACACCTTGCAGGCTAATTTTACTTGGACTACACACTCAAAAAGGGAGTATCAAATACAAGCCTTGGCAACTGACAAAAATTTCTGAGATGTGGTGGAAATAACAGTTTTTACTTTTTATTAATAGTTAACGAGGAAGAAGCTGTTTTTGTAGCCAAAAAGGGGAAAAAGAATAAGTTACCCACAACCCAAGTAGTTAAGTCCTCTTCGAGTAGAAATGTAATAAAGTTGAAACATTTTCTATTTTAGCCAAATAAGTATTAATGCATAACTCTCACACACAGATTGACTACAACAGCGACGCTTAAATTAACTTGTTCATGAAATGCAAGTGTCGGGTGTAATCGCACACTTCCCCAGTTATCTAAACTCTTAACAATCCCTAGAACACACGCACTGACCTGCACCTCATTTAGGCTTTCCATGCCAGTTGATGGAAACCAAATTATTGCAACAGCCGGTGACTGCTTACAGATAGACGCAGGTCTTGACAGATGGGATAGAATATCCCAAACCAATTGCCCAAAAAAAAAATCGGCTTCTTTGGTTGAGGGGGAGCTTAGTAGTGCACATCCTCTACCCACTATGACACTCATTTTCACACATCTAAAGAAGCAAAAAAAGAGGGTAGCTAGATCTACCTGGATCTCAGGTTCAGCAACGACAAATTGTTTCAACATTCGATTGCCAAAAGCACGTGACATCGCTAATACACCTCCAACTCTCCAAGTACCTGATAATACAGAAACAGAAAACATAAATGGTGTATAGCCGAGGTACCATTCATGGTAATCACACCAAAATTCATGAACAAATAAGACAGAACTAAGGATCCATTCACCTGATAAAGACACTCACTAAATGTGAGAACATGAGGTCTGATTCTTAGAAGAACAGATTGAATTTAACCGGGCAGTAACTAGGGTTTTCCTAGAAACCAAACAAAATTTTTTTAGAACTTTGAAACGAAGAAAAAAAAAACTATTTGTTTCCTTGGAAAACCCTAGTTACTGCAAGTGGACATTACTACATAGGCAAAACATCAATTTCCATATGGTCCCCAACTCCCATGCACTGAACATTTCATAATTGCAGCATGCACACATGCAACCACATTTCAATACAAGTTTAAGAGTAACTTGATTCTCACATGATCCATACCACTCTGCCGTATCTACCACCAACAGAATGGAAAGTATAAACTGGAGAACATTTGAGAAATTCAATCCTATTTTTTTGTAAAAACAATGAAATCTACACCACTAGCTTCTTCATTCTAAGAAAACAAATAGTTCGTTAGATGGATGCAAGTGGACATTACCATACAGGCAATGCATCTATTTCCAGATGGACACCGCCTGAGCTCCTATTCACTAACGTCTCATAATTCTAGCATGCACCATCACTTTTAACACAATTTCAAGAGTAACTTGATTACCAGATGACCTTAAATTCTCTAGCCAATCTACCACCTACAGAACGTTAAGAAACTAGGGGACTACAGAAAAACTCAAGCCAAATTTCATGACATGAAGTCTCTTTCCTTTAGCTTCTTCCATCCTACATAGTTTGCAGACATTTCAAACCTCTATAATTACATTAATGAAGCCTGAAAATCTTCCCTTTGACAAATGTCTGCACCACAATGGTATTACATCAATGCGAAACAAATGAAGGACGTGCAAATTGAATCTTTGTATTAGATGACGAATTAATGATGACACTTTCAAAGCATCAAAAAATTAACCGTGATGTTCCATTTCTGACAACCCACAAGATGAAACTTCAATTAACAGGCAAGCAAACCCAATTTGAGTAATGTTTCATAGGCAGAGAAAATTCCTCACCAGCCCACATCACAACACCTCCAGCACTTTCAATTCTCCTCCGTTCATCATTTCTATTAGGCTTATGATCCTCGGAAAGAGGAATTGCTGCCAAGCATAAAACTGAACTTGTTAAGAGTCTAGCCAAGGTGCTAGTTGCTCAACATTGCATGCTACAATATGAGAAGTGAGTGCAATAAGCGATAAACTACAACATATGAGAAAAACACACCATAAAAAATACAGTATATGGCATGAGAGAATGGTAAAGCTTTCAGGAGTCTGGTTGCTACCCATTGTTTCTTGCTTCAATTTCATGTTATACTATCAGTTACATTTACTATCGCATAAAGAGAAAAACCTATGTAATTGTACTCAATTGATAAGTTGTTATCTTGTTTTACACTGTATGCCTGCTTAAAGGACACAAAACTTTGCACTAATAGAAATCATGTAATATGGCCATCCTGCCAGCATCACATTTTTAGACGAAGCAGAGATACTATACACTTATAAAAGAATCATCTCTCACCCCCTGGTGGCTGCTGAAACTATCGGCTACTATTTCTATTCTCAAATTCCAGGACCTTTAAAGCCATTATGAATCTGATGTTACCTTTTCCGCTCTTCGATATTATAGTCCGTGAGTCTCCAACATTGGCAACATAGAGATGGTTACCAACTAGAACTGCTGTTGAAGCAGTGGAACCATCATCTCGGAAGGTATCTTTTTCAGAGTCCAAGAATTCCATATCTGTTTTTTGATACGTCTCACCTGCAATATGATGAAAGTAATGTATAAATCTTCAACAGTGTCAAGAATTCAAAAAAGTGAGAGATAGACAAAGAGAGTAGAGACGACAGAGGAGAGAAGTTTCTAAGTTTTAGTATTCTTCAATTAGCATGTTCTTCAAATACATTGCCCTTGCCATGATCATGCATTTCACACTTCAGATGTTATGGAAGCATGAATATGTCACACTTCGATATGTCAGCTTCAATGGACAGACAGCATACATTTCTAGTACACCGGGAAAGAACAAAAGTGGAGATTCAAATTACGTATCCATAAGACAACATATAAAACTCACTTATGGCCAACTTGGTGTTCGTTGAAAATGATGGATGTTTCAATAGATTCTGAAAGAGATGTCCCTTCAAAAACTCAGCTGCTCGGGAACCACCATGGCCTGCAGTGACAAGACATGATGATTAGAAAAAGTCAAAATCCATCTTTCTCAGACACAATTAAGATAAATGCAAACACAAGAAAATAAAAAAGAAGGGAAAATGCTTTCTCTACCTAGTCTGCAGAAATGTAAGAAGACACAAATAAAGAGCAACACAGACACTCACAAGAAAAAGAGAAATGCTAATTCTACCTCATCTGCAGAAATGTAAGGGTGTTTCAATCAAACATCTAAAAAAGAGACAAAGTTGTCACACGCTCATATGAAATATTTGAGACTACAAAAAGTGGTCATTAATTGCAAAGATGAGATAGAAAACATACAGTTTCTAGACTGCAAAACTGTTCCGCAAGCTTCCAAGTAAGAGCATTAATAGCGGAAGCTAAATGGAAAATCAATTTCAGTCTTTCAGAGATCCCATGTAGAGGTCATGATTACTCTTACACTGAGGACCAACTCTCCCCGAGGCCCCCACCGTAAAAAGTTAAACCAATCAGATCAAGGGGTGTATGATTTTAGAAAGGAGTACAAAGTCTCCCTAGTTTGAGGTTCTATTGATTCCATTCCAATCTTTGTGGGACTACACTGGGTATGTTGTTGTTGTAGAGCATCCCTCTTTTGAACCATAGGAACCATTTGCATTACAACCACATTTGATGTTGCTTAGTTTTTGTATATTTTTATTTTTGGACGACAACAAGAGCATACAATGGGTTTTGATTTGTATGGAAGAACAAGTTGCATGTTAAAAGAATTGTTTTCAGAAAATAACCTTGGGTATAGTTTTTTGTATTTAGATAAAAACAACTCTTTCCAGCAGAGTAAAAACAATACCAGTTTGTGTTTTCAAAAATAAAACAAACTGTTTTCAGGATTCTGTAGAACAAATAGATCCTAAATTCACCAGTTCATGTTAACAGTAGCTCACCGACACATATTCATGCAGACACCAAGCTACTACTATAAAGACGAAACATAGCAAATACAAGCTTCAAGCAGGAAGATTCAAAGGCATGATTTATCATTCATAATTCATTATCTATTTAAATTCAAAATCACACTCCAAGGTAAGGATGAATTGACAAGTTCTAACCATCAAATATCCCAAATAAGCAAACTGCCTTTCCATCAACTTCAGAAGTTTTGATGTCATAAAAGTCTTCCATGGTGGCTCTTTTCCCTCTAAAGCTTGAATAACCGCAACTCATTTTTCCATCTTCACTGCCAAGCAGAAAAGGAGAAACATAAGCATGAGTTATTTTTCAGAAGAATTTGGACAAGTATGAGCTGCTCATAGCAAAATACAAAAGAACATCATTATACATGTATGGTTAACATGGCAAGAAAAGTGAAATCTGTATTATGTCAACTCACTATGTACAACATATACCTAGCTAAGCTCAAAACCTTAATCAACATCAACTCTTTGTATGGCAAGGGTAAAGTAAAAAGTCCAAGGAGAAAAAGTTCACTCTCAGTCAATCATCAATACTAGAGGCAGTTAGATACTCTTCACCAAACTAGGAGTTAATTAATAAAACTTACCATACAGAAGCTTGTCATTTTTAGATGCACAGATCAGAAATTCTGTATCACCAAGCAATCTTCTAATAGTTTTGAAGGTTTTTCTGCATATGAATATCCCTAAGTTCGTTTTATTGATTTCTCATAATAGTCTACTGGCACTTTAAAATTTGGTACATCTCAAAAAACATAGGCCTATAAGAATAATTCATAAACAATTTGTTCTTCGACCTTGTCCAAAAAAGAACAATTTGTTCTTCCATCATAAGAAGAATATTGATGTATGAAAGCCTGAATGTAAAGACATAAGTCATGCATCTGTACTCCGGAGGAGTAACTTATGAGCCAAAAGCTGACAGCTTGTGATAAGACGAGAAAGACAAGGTAAACACGGAAGCAGCTTTTTTAATGGTCCAGTTAGGGAAGCTAATGAGAGTGAGAGTAATACAAAACTATAGAATATCAATTCTCCACACTCACCTCCTACCGCGTGCTAACTTCTTTTTATTTTTTGGGCATCAAGTGCAAGCTAATATCCAGCTTGGAAAACATAGGTCTTGTTAGCTGATTTACATACAGGAATATATGTTAAAGGAAACTAATTCTTGGACAAGGGTGACGGCACACTCATCCCCTTAGACATCTGGATGATCAAGTCAAATATTGTGAGTACATACAGCCACAAGAGGGAACAAAATCACAAAGATTCATGGAGCTTATCAGCACCATGCAGAGCAAAATATGTGTCTAACTGCCTACATAAGTCAGGAGGACTCTAAATGGAAACTACCAAGATTGTTATGCATTTTGCATCAGAAACCTATGATCCATGAGTGTTCCATCAGTTATCTTGCAACACTACATACCTAATAGATATAATATTACAATAGTCTGGAAAGGTACACAACAATGTACATCAGCTAAAAATAATCACCTCTTCCATCCTCCGCTGGCGTAACCACCACTATCATCCTTCTCCAGTGAAACATCAACAACAGGTCCGCCTTTAGCAGTTGCACCAGTATCCACCATCATGGTTCTCCTCCTCGCTGTATATAGACTATTCCAAGAATAACTTATGCTACAAGTTGCATTCAAACTTTTAATGAGTTTGATAAATTGCCTTCCCTCAATGTGCCTATAAATATGGCCAGCATGAAAACCACAACTCTTACAGCAGCTATTGCATAACATCTAAATTTGATTTCCACATAAACTGCCTGAATTTGAAGCTGAAAAAATAAAACCAGCACCTTTGATCATCAGACAATCCATTAAACAAAATTAAAAACAAACATACCAAAAAAATAAAATTGCAAAGCTTGTTTAAGCTGACAAAAGTAGAAATAAACACTAAAGCCAAGTTAAATACATTCGTTGTAGAGTTGCTGCATTATTTTTCTCAAATGAGAAAGCATATCAAACTCTACTTGTGCGGCCACCTGTTCATATCTAAAAACTGATCATCATAAGCTATCAATTACCACATCTATTAAGTAGACAGATAATTAAACCATTTCCATCAGTTCTCAAAAATTAATAACCATAGCATCTCCACTTCAATTGCTAGTATGCAAGAGGATCGGGAAAAAAATAATTAATAAACGTAATGGATCTGATCTTACAATCAAAAGAGTAGATTCCGTGAAACTCTGGTAGATCCATAGCCTTTGAAAAAACTTAAAAATCAACCGATTTCTTCAAAGGTAACAAAATTTTAATATTAACAGATCGATCTCTGTAAGAACATTCAGGTTCATCAGGTCCAGAGAAAATCAGAACCGAATGATGTAAAAAAAAGGAAACAATCAGAGAAGATCGTTGAATATCCAGAATCAGATTCAACTTTTTTCTGGATCCATTAAATTAAAAGAAACCCTAAGCAGAGAGAAAAAAGAGAGAGAGGGGGGAAAAAGGTGAATGATGATGATAATAAAGAGTGAAATGTGTTTATTTGTGAAGTGGCGGAGGGGAGAGAGAGAGAGACGCCTGGCGGTGAGAGAGAATGGCGACGTGGCGTTCCACATGCATCCACTTTTGTAGATGATATAATCCAGTGGGCTTTGGACCCACCGCTTATTGTAACGCCAGATCCAATACTCTTTTTTCGAATAATTTTAAAAGCTTACGTGGAGATGATTCCACTTATTACTACTTCTCATGCCTTTTGTGTGACTAGGATAAAACTCACTCAAATGGAATCTCAATAATTGTTGGTTTTTTAAAACTATGTTTTATTTTGATACAAAATAAATAATATTCACATAATTATTAAAATAGTAGTAGTATTTTAATTGTTAGTGTAAGCCAGTAAAAAGTGAAGGGAGAGAGTATAATTACTTATTCAAATTAAAAGGTAATGCTCAATGTGATTAATTTAGATTTATACTCCCTTCATTGACTTTTATTTGTTATGTTGTGCTTTTCGAAAGTCATATTGATTAATTTTTAAAGTTAAATTATATTACATTAATTCGATATTTTAACAAAAAAAATTAGATATTCAAAAACTATACGAAAAATGACTATAAACTACAATTCTTTGTTCAATATGATGAAATAAATCATAAAATGTTGGTCAAAATTTTTATAGTTTTACTCTAAAAATGAAACTATGACAATTAAAAGTGGACGGAGGTAGTAGCATTATAATTACGTGTAATGAACTTATAGTTTTTGAGGCAAAACATAAATTTTGGTGTAACAACTTACTAAAATTGTAATAAATTGTAGTTTTAAAACTATAATATTAATAATCTTAAAGTTGAACACATAAAATTTAAATATGAAATTTGAATATTTCATAGAAAACTAGCAGCCAAGGAAGAATTTCAGACAGATTAGTGATTTTGTAAAATTTTTCATTCAATGTTTAGTACTTCAAATGAAGTTTGATTAAATTTAAATTCATGTGAAAAGACTGAGTAATGATATGCAGTTGTTTTCCTTTTTATTTGCCTATATTTGGCCCTAATCCTCTAAATCTGGATTGATTTTTAATCTAACCGATGGTCCACGCAAGCAATAAGTAATCTAGTATACTACAGTGTTTGGATATTCATCATCAATAGTTAATTACTTATGAATGAGAAGATTAGTGTCAATTGCTAATCTTTAGTGGTCTACGCTTATATTTCAACAGATATATTATATATAATTTTTTAAAATTTCAATAAGTTCATAATTAAAAATAAATAAAGATTGAATCATTAAATTTAATTTTAAATCTATCTTTAAAAAATTCTTTGACCTTATATATGGTTTCATTAAATGATGCTCAGTTGCTCACATGTGATATATGCTTGTTTAGTTCATTGACTTTCTTGCTTTTGGAAGATGACTGCTAAATAATTATGCGATACCATTCACCACTAATTAACTAAATTTATTTCAATGATTTTGTGAAGATATTAAAACCATTTTATTTTTAATAAACATAAGACTCAAAAAAATTAGATGACAAATTCATCATATAAAGGCAATATATATTTTGATAACTACAATAATTAAGCGTTTAGATATTTAAAAATGTAATATTTGAAAAATAGTAGGAGTAGTAATATTAAAAGAAAGTTGAAAAAAAGTATATATTTTATGCGATATGAATTTTAACTTGAAAAAAAAACTGATTAAAATCACTTTCAACTTGAAACTCATCTTTAAACTTTTTAGAAAAATTAGTCCTATCTATCTATATATATATATATATATATAAAACAAATATTGTTTTAAAAGGGGAAAAATTCCATGACCACAAACGAGCCCTAAATTAGTGATAGAAAATTTATATCGAAAAGCAAGTTCACGTCTCCTCTCAATTCTCAAATGATAAGAAGGTTAAATTTTTGCTCTTGCATGGCCTATGAATTCATGTGAATTTTAAAAAATTTGTAAAAAAAAAAAATGTTCAAAATTTGTATAGGTATTAAAAATTTAGCAAAAATCTATCAATATTTGATTATAAATCTAATTTTTATTGCATATTAATATAAAATCATCACACAAGAAATTATAAACTTCAATAACTAAATTTGGTTGAGAGGAATATAAGTGTAGATATGAGTCTAAGTCATCCAATCAATTCCTAGTCCTTTTGGGAAACACAACCCTTTGTATTTCTTTGTTCGGTTTCTTTGGTTTCTTATTCGATGTTCGGAGTATATATTAAATTTTCGATTAAATCTAGATCAGATAATGCAGGGTCCATTAAGAGGTGACGCTTCCAATGGAATTTCTCCATATTCAGAATTTGAATTCGAAATTTTTGATCAAGGGTAAAGCAGTTCCACCAGTACTGCACCACGACCCATGTTGATATAACCGGCCTTTGTATTTCACTAACGAGCTATATGTGCAAAAAATGGTAGTTCAACTTGAATTTTTTAATTTTTTTTTTTTGTATTTCCCATCTCCTAATTGTTATGACGTCTCCATAGTGATTTATGACCAATTTTTTTTATATTTTCTTTTAAATATCAATTGGGTTAGGGTAAATGAAAAAATAAAACAAGAAGATAGGGTAAAAGAAGAGTAAAAACATCTTTTTCTAAACTTTTGATACTAATTAATTGGGTGAAGTCAAGGGAAAAATCATTAGTAAAAGACCATCCCCAACCATATTGGTTACCAATTGGATGAATTGAAGTGAAGGGGAAGAAAAAAAATAGTGGAGAAGAAAAAGTAAAGTTACCATTTTTAAAGTGGATATTATAAAGCTATCATGAACTAATACTAAGCTTATATTGTTTGAACTTTTTAAGATTATCAAACCAGTGTGAGATAGATTTTAAAATATAATCTCTTTTCAAGGATTCAATAGGAGTGCATAGATATTTTTAGGACTCATTTTGACCATGAATTTTAGAAGCATTTTAAAATTATTTTTTTTATCAAATATTTGTTTTAGCGCCATAGCAATTATCTAATTTTTGAAAGATTAATTTCAAATCTCAAAATCTATTTTAGACCTATTTTGTAGCCCTTTTTTTAAAAAAAATTAAAGGATTTTGTAGCCAAAATATAACCATTGATTTCTTTTTAAATTTTAAAATTTATCCCAATTTTTTATATTTTATAAATAAAAGCCTCATCTATTACTTCGGATTTGTTTTGCTTGTTTTGTATAAATGTACTTAGAATTTGTTTTGCTTGATATGAATAATTTTTTCTTCGAATTGTAAACTATCGCTAATATATGAGGTCTCTTATCTTCTACATAAAGTAATATTTGCTTATAATGTATAACTTTTTCTTTAGATTGTTATGTTAATTCGTGTCAATATATGAGCTAGGTCTCTCATTTCTTACCGTTGCTAATAATTGTGTTATTTGAAGTTTTTATTATAATATCGTCTTATGATTCTAGGATAATGTATTATCTAATTCATCATTAAAATACTGATTGTGTGTCAAATTTATTTGAATATAGTATGATTTGTAATAATAATAATGAACATCGTCAATAAAGGTTTTGCATAACTTTGATTAGAAAATATGTTCATTTGGTATGATTTGATAGTGTTTTTAGAACTCATGTGTATGAGTCATATTTCATGTTGTTGTTTTTTAAAAGGAGTGAAATATTTTTTGAAATTTATGATCAAACACATTTTAAAACTTTAGTCTAAACTTCATACAAATTACTATATAATTTATCAAAAATATTTAAAATTCTTGATCAAATGATAGCTTTAAGGGATTCCACCTATGTATATTCAAACACCAGTTAACATTTGCATGGGTACTTAGTTTAGCAATTTTTGCTTTTCATGAGTTCTCACTTTTTCTCAGATCATGGGTTAAAATTTAAAACCTATGAATACACTGATATTGTATATTTTTTCATGTAAATAAAGGACAAACAGCTGGGCATTATGACTTCATATGCACTTAATTATTAGTAGTGGACTTTTACTTTTCCCCTTTCCTCTCCTAGTTATTTCAACCAAGATGTTTTTTTGGCTCCTAATAACGTTTTTAGTAATATGCTGTAAAGTGTAAATGGACATTGAAAAATAAGGATGTGAAATACACAAGGGCATACATTAAAATCCCTTGCGTTGGTAATACATATACTATGATTTCTTGTGTATTGCTATATATAATATATTACCAAATAAAGTATAAAACTAATGCAAATATTGATTCTATATAACATTAAAAAGTATATTAAATAAAATATAATAATACACAAAGTTAATACATGCATTGTATTTTCTAATGCATTCTACCAAGTCATCTCTTAACAAGTTCAAGATGTTGTTCCCAAAAGGATGCTTGACCTCTAACTATATATGGGATGCATGGATTTATTTCTACTAATTAAGGGTGAAATAATTATTATAAGTATGTTTCAATCTCAAATAAGTTATTATGGATGATCAGATGAATTAACATTGGCTATGTTTCTCTATGTAAATTCATTTCATATCAAATTTATATAAAATATAAATTATTGTGAATTTTTAACAGAGTTAACGATCAAAATCACATATAAAGTATCACATTTTTGTGAGTCTTTTGGCTAAATTATCAAGTGTTCATTTTTCCTATGTGAACTATCACCAATTATTTGTCAAAGCACATCTCAACTATTAATTATTTTCCTTTTTTTATCTAAATATGTTATAACTATGTAAGAAAAGGAAACAATTGTCAGGTAAAATGTCTTTTGATAAATAGTTAATCATAGTTCAAATTTTAAAAAAAAAGTGAACATTATCGTATAGAAAACTTGCAAATACATAATTATTTAAACGGAAAAGGCTCAAAAATACCCCTGAACTATCGGAAATAGCTCATATTTACCCTTGAACTATATTCTGGCTCAAAAATACCCTTCCGTTAAAGTATTGGGTCACTTTTACCCTTACTATTAACAGAGATGTGTTAAGTGCCATGTGGACGCCACGTGGACGCCACATGGACGCCACGTCGACGCCACATAAGCACCAAACAATTCTCACCTCCACATAGACTCATACATCCTAATTACTAATTTTGTTCTCATTTCTTTTGGGACATACAATTTGACCTCTCATTTCTCTAAAATACATTTCCCCTCTTCTCTCTAATAGGATTCACCCAGGGTTTCAGATTTCTCTCATGGATGCCATTCCATTTCAAAGTTGATTTCACCTCTTTGTTCATTTCACTGCTAGGGTTTCGAAGTGGATTTTGGTGGCTGAGGTTAGTAAAGTCGTTGTTCTTATTTCGCGATGGTTCTAGTTTTGCGATTCCAAAGATATTTTTTTGGTTAGGGTTGCAACTTTGTTTATAATAGTTGGGTATATTAGATTTAGGGGAAAATTTCACCCCTTTCTTCATTTCACCCCTTTCTTCATTTAAGAAACTATTTCACTCCTTTCTTCATTTCATTGCTAGGGTTTCGAAGTAGACAAAAATTTCAAAACAATGTCTGAATCCTCTATCGATTCACTTGAAAAATTGTATGCAAGAAGATGTCATTGTGGTCTCAATGCTTTAAATTTGACGGCTTGGACTGATTTGAATGCAGGGAGAAGGTTCTACAAATGTCCTAGACCCAAAGTAAGTTGTAAATTAGTTTGATGTTTGTATGTTTATATACAAACTCTTATTTGTTAAATTAACATTAAGTATTTCTCTAAATTATTATGTAAACTTGATAGTTGAATTTGTACACTACATGTAGGCCACTTCATGTGGATATTGGGAATGGCAAGACAAACAACAACTCCCACCAAGAGCAGTAACTGTTATAATGGACTTAAAGGGTAAATTGGATGTTATGAAGGTTGAAAGAAACAAATTGAAACGGATTGTCGATGGAATGGAAAAAGCTGAAAGGGACAATCTGGAAATTTTGTTTGAAGAAACGAAATTTATTTCAGCCCAAGAAGCTGGAAAACTTATGCTTTTGGAGAAGAAAATCAAAAAATTGAAAACTATCATTTTCATTTCATGTGCTTTGTTCGTTGTGTTTGTTGCAAGGATCATGAAGTGAATGTATGTAAGGATCAAACACTTTAAGACTCAATGTATGAATTGAATATTTGTTGTTTTAGTACTTATGGAGTTTGAATTACAAGTTTATGTATTATTGAATTTGTATTTTGTAATGAAGTTGTAGTACTTATGGAATTTGAATTATGTATTATGCATTATGGAGAGTAGTTGTACAGGGAAAAAAAATATATGTTCACCAGCTTGTCATCTTGCGTTACTGGTCATCTTGCTTTTGTCAATATGGATATGGATTTTACTGGTATTGTATCTTATATGAATGAAGTGGAAAAGTTGAAGTATGTACCTGTGGATACGTGTTTTCAGGAAGGTTTGGCCAAACTCTTTAGGCTTGCTGGTGAGACTAATGTGCAGGCAAGTTGTTAGAAATGCTTGCACTCATAGTTGTTAGAAATGCTTGCACTCATAGTTTCCATCACCATCCCTTTGGGTGGATATGTACGTAGATTTTTTATATGAGCATTAATTATTATAGGACATAAAACTATATGTATATTGTTGAAATATCCGTTTCATAACAACAATAAACTGTTTCAACTGTAATATTAAATATTCTAGTACCAATATTTGAATTATTCATAACATTATTGATGAATACAGTGAGTATGCAGATTTTTTTGAAGTAATGTTGACATAAATAATTTGTCACATCGAGCCTAACTCAAAATCTGAACTTTTGAAAATGAAGGGGAATTTCTTTCTTTCTACAATATTTGAAGCTTAAGCCTAATATTTAACTAGTAATGATAATTATTTTAAATCGCACTACATCAATAATGATCTTTAGCAGCAATTAACACTCTTTGTATATGTTCCTAAAGCCTTTAGCGACATTGGATCTAACGGCACTTAACTAATGCTGATAAAAATTTTAGTACTTTTTATTAATGTGTTTATTTATTACCGTTAAAGTTGTTTTTGTTGTTTTGTCGATCAATTAGAAACTTTGGGACATGGGAAGGAGAAGGGTCACTTCATGTAATGGCAATGTCACCGCACTAAATTTTGGTTGTCTCAGCATCAATCTTGGCAGCATTTTGACGTGTGAGACCTTCTCGCTCCTTAGCTCCAATCTCACCCTTCATTTTGACCTCAGAAACATCAATTTTAGCTTGCTTTGCAGCTTCCATTTGAGTTTTCTGCCCCAAGTAAGAAAAGTATTCGTGCTCTTGAACATCGACCAGTTGCTTAATGTTAGCATTGTAAATCAGCAAGCCAAATTGGTTGAGCTCAAGCTGAACCTTGTCAAATACCTCCTTTTTGAAATCTTTTGTGCCTTTAAAGATTTCCTCCATGGTCATGGAAGCAGCCAAGACACGAGTCTCTCCCTCAATGACACCTTGAACAAGGTCCTTCACATCGTGTGAATCACGTTCATGGTGGGATAGAAGTTTAGCATATTTGATAAGTCTCTCACGGTCATCCACACATGGACCTATAGTGAAAACAACAGGGAGAAGGAAGGGCAGCTTCTCAGCACTCATAGTATTGACTTCAAAAGTATAGTTCACAGGAGTAACATCAATGATTCGACATTTCTGCAATGGCCATACTAGTGCCTTTTTTGTGATCTTCAGTTCATTAATACCAATCCCAGTGATCACCAGAAATTCAGATGCCCTTAGTATGTGGTACATCATGTTTGCAGTTCCTTGATCTTCCTAACATGACAAGTAGAGGTTGTCAAGAATTAAGACCCACAACACCACACACGGACAAGTAGAAACTTACATTTTACTCAAACTTAACAGTATAAAAACTATCAGAAAATCTCATTCAAGACAGAAACACAGTTTACAAGTTGTTTTCCAGCATTTCAAACATCAGATCTTCGTCCATTGTTTGCTTCTGCATTTTTTGTAAGAGGATGAAAATCAAATCAATATACTCCAATAGTCTAAGCTTATGATGCTAACAACACTACAATATGGTTTGGAGCAACATCATACCATCATGTGTATCATGCAGTGACATCCAAAATTATAAAGGAAAAAGAAATGTTATTGCAAGTACGGAAAGAGAACATACTCGTAACTCTGATATAATTCCAGGCATTTTCAAGAAAATCTCCTGTGTAACCTCACCAGTTGAAGATTTGAAATCAAATGGATTTGCATACCGAAGCTTAAATCTAATTGATGAATTTCTATATAATTTTGCAGTTGTGTGACTGATACCAATAACAACATATCGACCACATGAAGAATCCTTGCCAATGGGCCATCTCAACTCTCAAGCCGCCCTGAACTTCTGAATCCAAAATAGCAGAACCAATAAGATCTTTAATTCCAGTGATCTGTTCATTCTGTCAAAATGCAAACTAAATCACAACACTCATTAAATTCTACAAGGAAACATAGAAAAGTTTATTGCATAACTTACAGATAAAATAATGTTGATTTTCTTGGTATATAGTATCAACCTCAGATCTAAACTCTTTCCAGGACAGCTCATATCTGCTACCATGTGGCGTGGCGTACGTTGTTCAACTCAATCTTAATTAAAAAGGGATTCATGTCAGAGGGAGTCGTTTTGTTAAAGAATGATGGTGATAATTGTTAATGCTTTTCCAACCATATAAATAAGTAGTTAATTAGGTATTTTACAAGATACTAGAATATGCTTGATCAAGAAGCAGCAGGAACAAAGTACTTCCTTCTGGTTCATATGACAAAAGATAAAGTTCAAATATATTCCTTTGTTAAGAAAAAAAACAAGAACTCCATGCCCTCTTTGACTAAAGAAATGAAAAAAATACTACTCTCAACATTAAATTGTAGCAAAATACATCAAGAAACTGCAAGAGTCACCAACAAATTGCCAGCGAAGTTACAAAACTAAACGCCTAAAAGCACATACGACATTAAATTGTCATCTTACTTTCTCAAAATGGGCAAGTACATGAATTGTAAAGAAACAGTTGAACAGGACAAGAATTAAATAGGAAAGAGCATAGTGGGAGCAGTCACTGAAACCATAATGCATTACCAACATTAACTAAAATTGGAAATAAACTTCACACAAAAGCTGGACAGTAACCAGTAACAAAAATCTTCACCAAACTCAACTCATGCATTCATTGTTTTGCATCTACCAACTTCAACCCAAAATAAACATAAGCATTCATTGTTTTGCATCTACCAACTTCAACCCAAAATAAACATAAGCATTCATTGTTTTGTATCTACCAACTTCAACCCAAAATAAACAAATGCATTCATTGTTTTGCATCTACCAACTTCAACCCAAAATAAACAAAACACATGCATTGTTTTGCATTTACCAACTTCAAGCAAAAATAAACAAACTAGACAACTTTTTGCATCCAAAACACTTCAAATCTGGGATTTCCCATTAGTTTTTCTTGTCTTCAACTTGTCCACCTTCTTCTGTCTCTCTCTTTCCAACTGATTGCCAGTGACAGCTTCTTTTCCTTTCCAAGTGAGATTAGTAGGTGAGTAAGGCAAATCTGTAGGCTCACTAATTCCAACATGATCATCTCTAAAAGATATAACTCTATTTCCAGTTGCTCTTTGTTGATTCATCCTCATTTTTAGTTTTGTGCTATTTTCAGATATGACTTGAGGCCTTATATCTGGATCACTTTCAGGCTCTCTAGCAGGTCCAAATGGTTCATACTGTAGTGAGGACATGAAATGGTATTCTTCATCTTGTGTTGGTCTAGGGGCTGAGCTATTAACATCATAATCTTCTCCATGGGGTTCTTCAACCTCTTCTTCAGATTCTTCTTCAGACTCTTCCTCAGTTCTGTCCCCTTTTCTCTTCAATGTTGCCTCTTGTTCTCCTTCAACAAACTGAAAATACAATGTTTATGTGCAGTTAACTACATAGTACTAATAACAGTGAGATATGTAAATATGTAATGTTCTTACATTGCATGTTCTTGCATTGTGAGTTGTTTCACCACACTTACTACATGTCATTTTAGTTCCTTTTCTTGAGTGAGCCCACTCTCCAGCTCTTTTAATTGCTGCATCTTTTTCCCTAGTTCTTTTGGTCTTTGGTCTTCCCACTGTTTTCACAAGATCAGGTGGAACCATTGCATGTTCTGGCAATACATTCCAGAATTGTTCATCTCTTACATGCATCAACTTTTCCCTATATGTCATCAAATAAGCTTCCTTACTGTACCACCAATTAATTTCATTCTTTGGTTCTATCTTCTGGTACAACATAACTTTGATGGCATGAGGGCATAGAATGCCAGTCAACTGCCATGACCTACATGTGCATTTTTTCTCAACCAAGTTCACTGTGTGCCTATCTTCACCCTCAGACACTTCATATCCAAGATCACCATTGAAATCGACACTACATAATTGAGCTATTCTCATGTATGCAGTGAATAATTTCATGCACTTAGGACTATAATCAATAGTCCATTTCCTTGCATCTTCTTCCTTCTCTCTTAACCTGTTCATTATCTTGATTCTTATATCTTCAAGCATTTTTAGGATTGGCTTACCTCTTGCTTCCAGGATCCAAGAGTTGAAAGACTCTGTGAAATTATTATCCACCATTTGATTTTTGCATATAGTATCCAAATATGCCCTGCACCATGTCTGTGGTGGATACTTAAGCAAATCTTTGGCAGCACTTTTTGACAATGCACCAAGTGCACTCAACTGATCCTTGAAATCTTCCTCATAAGTACTCCAAGCAGCCCACCAAAGTAGTTTCTTCATATCTCCTGACCTAAATCTCTTCATCCAGTTGGCCTCAATATGCCTAACACAGTACCTATAATCAGTAAAAATGAATAGTTAGTTAACATGTTCAAGAGAACAAAATAATTAAAATAACTTAAAGTACCTGTGGTGAGACAAAGGAAGGACATTTTTTACTGCATTTATCAGTCCCTGTACATGTCAAATAAGCAAATATACAGTTACAAACTGTTATATAAAGAAGACAAAATTATTCAAATAAACAGAAATTATTTACCTTCTGCATATTAGACATAAAGGTGATAGTTTGACCATCTTTCAAATTTAATGAATTGTTCAGCAGTTGTAGAAACCATATCCATGTCATAGTTGTCTCCTTATCAACTACAACCCATGCCAATGGATAGAAGCAATTCTGAGAATCTTGTGCCATAGCCACCAAAAGTTGTCCCTTGCATTGACCCTACAAGACGGTCCCATCTAGTCCAATAAAGGGTCTCAAACCTTCTTTCCATCCCAACTTCAGAGCATTAAAGCAGATGTACATCCTAAGGAACTTTCTTTTACCTTGTTCCAATACATCCTTTGATAAATTGATCACAATATCACTACCAAGATTGCTTAGCCTAAGCTCATTTGCATAAGCTTCAATTCTGTTGAAATTATCTAAGAAACTTCCCTGCAATTTTTGAAGGGCCATCCTCTTGGCTCTTTTCAACTTAGAGGTACTAGCATTCAAGTTGAACTGATCTTTCAAGTCTTTTCTCATATCCTTTAGCTTGTACTGAGGATTATTCTGCAGTTTACTCTTGAAATATTGTGCTAAAGTACTTGTGCAAGCTCTAGGATTTTTAAATGCATCCTCACAATTATGATTTATTTTCAGTGTTTTAACCTTAAAACCTGGACCTTTACCATCTTGTGAAATAAGCAAGACAAATGGACAACCAATCATGCATTTATACCTTAGTCTAGTTCTGTCACTTTTTCCAACTACTATAGGCTTGGAATTTGCAAGAGAATACAAATTCACAATTTTTCTTGCCTCATTCAAGTCCTTGAAAGTCATGGAGGGATGAAGTTCTTTGTAGTGACTGAGATCAGCATTTACTTCTTTAGATTTCAACATCTTAATAAGCTCTAACTCATCAAAGTTATATTCATCATCACTAGACTGGTCATCATCACTTTCTGTTTCAGCATCAGTTCCATATTCACACTCTACCAAGTATGTTTCACTATGGTGAATAATATTTGGTGCAAAAACAGTTTCTTCAAAGTCATCCACAACAAAGAAATTAACCACCTTAAATTGTTCATTTAATAGGCATTGGAGTGTCTTACTACCTTCAGATCCCTCAAGCAAGTAAAATTTCCCAGAAGGCCCTTTCACTAGTATTTGTTTCACAAGCACAAATCCTAAGTTTTTTGTGTACTCTTCCACTATCTTATCATAGTCTAAGAGATCTGCACTAGTGTCTCTCCTAGTAGCAATATACTTCTTGCCATATACTAGTAGTGGTTTTGTAATCCATTTACCCCCATAATGCAACATAAGGTCAACCAAAAGATCTTTCATATTGAACTGAGAAAGAAAAGCAGACATAAATGAATAAGAAACACAAACACACAAGAGCTAAATAAAGAATGGAGTGAAAATAGCACAACAAACATAAATGAGCTAAATAACTCCTTACTGCTATAAAACACACATGAGCTACAGGTTTATTACAAGATAAATGAATAAGAAACACAAACACACAAGAGCTAAATAAACAAGTCATTACACTTCAGAAATCTATACTAAAAGAGAAAAAACAAACAATGACCACATATTTATTACAACATAAAGAATGGAGAAAAAATAACTCAACAAACATAAATAAATAAGATACACAAATACAGATGAGCTAAATAACTCCTTACTGCTATAAAACACACATGAGCTATAGGTTTATTACAAGATAAATGAATAAGAAACACAAACACACAAGAGCTAAATAAACAAGTCATTACACTTTAGAAATCTATACTAAAAGAGAAAACACAAGCAGTGACCACATATATATTACAACATAAAGAATGGAGTGAAAATAACTCAACAAACATAAATAAATAAGATACACAAATACAGATGAGCTAAATAACTCCTTATTGCCATAAAACACACATGAGCTACAGGTTTATTACAAGATAAATGAATAAGAAACACAAACACACAAGAGCTAAATAAACAAGTCATTACACTTTAGAAATCTATACTAAAAGAGAAAAAACAAACAGTGACCACATATTTATTACAACATAAAGAATGGAGTAAAAATAACTCAACAAACATAAATGAATAAGATACACAATAAATAAGTCATTACACTTGGGCAGTGGAACCCCACACATCAAGTCCTTACAGGGGCCACATGTTTTATAACATAAACAATAGTGGGAAAATATATGACCAAATAGGCCATAAACTTTAGGAATCTATATTGAAAGAAAGAAAAAACATATAGGGGCCACATGTTTAATACAACATAAATAATAGATGTAAAAGCTCTAAACAAAAAGATCATAATAAATAATGAAAAAGGACATTTGGGACCAAGGTCTGACTGTTATGCAGAAATGAAGTAAAAGAAAGAAAAAAACATACAGGGGCCACATGTTTTACAACATAAACAATTGTGGGAAAAAATGTGAACAAACATGTCTTAAACTTTAGGAATCTAAACTAAAATAAAGAAAAAACATACAGTGGGGCATAAACAGAATAGTGAGGTCTAGTAGTAGTATGCATTATTGTTAACTTTTGCAAGTGTTTTTGTTTCCATTTGATTATTCTTGTCTTTAGTTTTTGTAAGCAACAACTATTAGTATATTCAACTATTTCATAATAAACAAGCCATAATATACAGAGGACATTTAGGATAAACAATAGGACCACAACATATAAGACAACATTCTCAAAAAATTACAAAAAGGGAATAATAAACAATGAAAAGGGGCATTTGGGACCACACACATCAAATTCAGACTAGGACTAAACAATATATATTCATATACTAGTCCATTAAATACTACTACTTTAACTCAAGTATTCCTTAAATCCAACCTTGACAGAATAGGACCAACATACGAGACAACATTCTCAAAAGATTACAAAAATTGTAGCTATTGGACCACAATTCAATAAGATACGAAACCACACGCCCTTCTTAAATATCCATTACACCATATTCCGGAAAAAGATCAAAACTTTTAGTAATAGTTTAAACTATTTGGAATAAACAATAGATTATTTGCTTAACTCAAATAAACAAATAATTTTTCCCTAAATCTAACATACCAAAATATTATAAACAAAGTCGCAAAGCCTAACTATCCACAACTTTGAAATCATAAACATCATAAAATAAGAACAAAGATTAACTAACCTACAGCCGCGAAGATCACTTTGAAAACCAGCCGCGAAGTCAATTTTGAAATCCAACCATGAAAATCTGTGAACCCTAGAGAGGAAATATAATCCAAAGGATGACTCGATCAAATATCTAGATGTTACTAACTTTGCTCCATATGTTGAGGCAGAAATCTACGTTAAGAGCCTTTATCCTTTTTTTTTTAGAAGGGACTACACCTGCAATAGCAACAGAGGTTCAAATAACTCAGATGAAGACACCCATGTGACTAATAACCTGTAAGAGTTACATTCTATGTATTTTCTGAAGTGCTGTTAAATTTTGTTTCCATAATACTTGTGATCTTGTGAGTCATTTTCCTTTTATGATCTATTTTCAGAAAGCGATAACATACCCAAATATTATAAACATACCCAAATACTTTTGTGAAATAGTTTCTTAAATGAAGAAAGGGGTGAAATTTTCCCCTAAATCTAACATACCCAACTATTATAAACAAAGTTGCAACCCTAACCAAAAAAATATCTTTGGAATCGCAAAACTAGAACCATCGCGAAATAAGAACAACGACTTTACTAACCTCAGCCGCCAAAATCCACTTCGAAACCCTAGCAGTGAAATGAACAAAGAGGTGAAATCAACTTCGAAATGGAATGACATCCATGAGAGAAATCTGAAACCCTAGGTGAATCCTATTAGAGAGAAGAGGGGAAATGTATTTTAGAGAAATGAGAGGTCAAATTGTATGTCCCAAAAGAAATGAGAATGAGATTACTTTAATGTCTTATTTACCCCAATCTAATAAACTTATTATTTTTCTCGACCATATAGTAAACAATTTTTAGTTTTCATTTTTAAAGTTAAAAGTTCAATCTTTTGCATGCATTACTTTTCTTGTATAATAGTAAGGGTGCTTATGTGGCATCCACGTGGCGTCCACATGGCACTTAACACATCTCTGTTAATAGTAAGGGTAAAAGTGACCCAATACTTTAACGGAAGGGTATTTTTGAGCCAGAATATAGTTCAAGGGTATATGTGAGCTATTTCCGATAGTTCAGGGGTATTTTTGAGCCTTTTCCGTTATTTAAATAGAAAAATAATAATTCACATATGTTTAAGAGTGTTACTAACTCTCCAAAAAGTTCTTATCAAGAATATTTACCAAGTGACATAACAATGAGAAAATTTTTAAGTATAAATTATAGAAACCACATATTATAACTACTAAATAACATTCTATCCCTTCTAGTTTTATATTTACCAAAAATCCCTTAAAAATGTTAATTGTGGGATACATAGCGTTGTGCACGGGATACATAAGGGTTGATACATTCCAGTTAATAGTTGTTGCGTCTTAGAAGGAAACAATAACGTAGATTTGATTTAATAACTATAAATGCGATAATTCACGCTGAAAGATTGTAAATCTTCAATTCAATTACGTAACTAATTGATAAATTCAAATTTCAAATCAGAGCTCCTTCAGCTAACCAAATTTATCATGATAAAGTGGATCTACATTCTAAGAACTTGAAAAAAACAGCTTTAGACGATGAATATCACAATTTTATTACGACATTCTGGAATTTGGGTAAGCGATGTTAATTACGAAGGTTACAAGGTTGATGGAATTGTCGTTGGAGAATCAATTTCATTTATGAATCTTAAAGCGTTGATTTTAGCAGAGTTAGAGATCGACGGTGTTAGAAAAGATATTGAAATTCGATACATCGTACACGGAAACACATGTCCGTTGAAAATCAGGAACGACATGGGTGTGAAACTTTATTTGGAAGTAAGAAGAAATGAGCCTGGAATCGGCATGTATCCGTTATGTATTGATACAACTGAGAAAATGGTTGGGGAGATACATAACTTTGATTGTTCATCCGGTGAAATCATATGCGTGGAAGGTACAGAAAGAGATACTGAAGCTCTTGCTCTGGTCGAATCGAGAATTTGTGATTTAGATTATATTCCAGAATTGAATGCTACAAATTACATAACTGATTCCAATAGTACTGATGTGAAGACAGGCCAGTTGTATAAGGATAAAGGAACACTCATCGCTGTAATGGCGAAATATTAAATAAAGAACAACTTCAATTTCAGAGTGAAAAGATCGGATAAAAAAAGGTATTGGACTGTTTTAGCTCTAATTTGATTTGTTTTTCTTCAGTTTATGCATATAATTAGTATAATTCTAGTTTCTATTGTATTGATAAGTTCATTGGTGTTTAATGATTTAAACAAAATGGTAAGTATTATGATTGTTATTATGATTGTTATGTTCTTTATTATTACAGTTACATTATTTGTGGAAAACTTTAACAGTGTTTTTGTTATATGACTTAATCTAATGAAAAAATGTGTACAGCTATGTGTTAGTTTGCTTCAGTGATGAATGTGGGTGGACTTTAAGGTCTTCGTGCAGAAAGAAATATGATGTATTCAAAGTGAGGTACTTTAACAATGATCATATGTGTCCGATGCGAGATAGGATACTTACAAAAGTACAAGCAACAGTTGAATTTATTAGTGGTGTGACTGCCCCCAAGTTGTTTAATCATAAACGAATTCATACGCCGCAAGATGTAATTGAAGATATTCAAGCAATATATGGGGTTGAAATATCATACCAGCAAGCATGGCATGCTAAGGAACGTGCATTGAAAATGCTAAAGGGTAAACCATCAGAAGGATATAAGCAGATGCCAAGATACATATGGATGCTAAATAATGTGTATCCAAATTCATATATAAGGATGCAAAAGACGGAAAGTAATCAATTCATGTATCTTTTCATAGCACTACGGTCATTGATAAGAGGGTTTGACTATTGCAGACCAGTAGTTGTAGTGGAAGTTGCACATCTTGGCGGGGCTTACAAAGGTACTTCTGTATCAGCGAGCACACTCGATGGTGTAGGTATGACTTTTGTAATACTGACATAATTTTGAACTTCGTTTTCAGTGTATAATCAATGTATCTTAGTGTAACAGTTATGTATAATATAGTTAAATGTGTGTTGCTTTGTAAATATGTTGCATATTTTCGTTGGCATATGGTGTTGTAGACACTGAAAATGACTGTTCGTGGACATGGTTCTTCGAACAATTCAAAAATGCATTTGGCGAGCGTGAAAACATGTGTATTGTATCAGATAGAAATGAAAGTATTATGAAAAGTGTAAGCATTGTGTTCCCAAATGTACCTCATTGTGCATGCATATGGCATCTTTGGAAGAATGTATGTTCAAACTTCAAAAGGAGTAAAAACACACTAAGTGATATATTTTACTCAATGGCAAAGGCAAACAGAAAGGAAGATTTTGATAAATTAATGGCTAAGGTGGTGAAAGTTGATCACAGGGTGAAGGATTACCTTGAGAATGCTGGGTATGAGAGGTGGTCAAGAGTTCATTCAATAGTAAACAGAGGTAGAATGATGACTTCGAACATCGCAGATTGTATCAATGGTTGCCTTGTTGATGCACGTCGGTTAACTATAATAGACTTCTTGGAGGAAGCTAGACTTCTATTTGGTAGTTGGAACTATAAAAATAGAGAAATAGCGTCATATACAAATGACACATTGGGCCGAAGATTTGAGGAGGTATTGATTGTAAACGCATCTAAAAGTTCAAATATGAAGGTATTTATCAATATCCCTATCTTTCTGTTTGATGTATCAGCAGCTCTGATTTGCATTGTATCATACAGTAATGTATCATACACACAAAAATTGGATGTATCCTTCATATCCCTTTTTTTTTAGAAATGATATGTAAATGTCATATTATGTAATGTATCAGTAACTTCTAATTATTTTCAGGTTGTCCCATCGTCTGAGTATATTTTTTCAGTTTATCAAGCCGGAAGAAGATACATTGTATGCCTTGAGCGAAAAATATGTACGTGTGGAAGATTTCAATATGATGAGATACCTTGCGAACACGCAATTGAAGTTTTGAAGCACAAGAATGTTACGGATATGCATCCGTATTGCTCTGATTACTACAAGCCGGATGCATTAGAAAAAACCTACAAGGTTGCAATGGTTCCAATGCCATATAAGGAGGATTGGACTGTTCCAGACTATGTTTTAGATGAAATTGTCTTGCCACCTAGGTACAGAAGGTTGGCTGGACGACCAAGGAATTGAAGAAAGAAAAACGCGGATGAGAAGATAACAGTGAACAAGAATTCTTGTGGGCAATGTGGACAAGAAAGTCACAACAGGAGGACTTGTACTTTCTTCCCGAAAGAGAATTGAAATAATGTTTTAAAATAGGATATTTGTGTTTTTCTTTCTTCGATTATATGTATTTTTCGCTTTTAGTAGTTGGATTAAATAAAGTGTATTGTTAAACAATTTATTTTGTTGTTCAACTAAATGCATTAGTTCATAACAGTGTGCCAATCTTATATTAAATATAAAATTATTCTTATACTGAATGTATAAATTGCGAAAAATAATTATTGTGTAAATGAATAAAATATTGATTCAAAACCATGTTAATGATTTAAACAAAATTATGTGTCCCAAAATTTACTTTTGCAGACGTGTTTTGTATGTATCATATACACCACATTATGTTGTATCATATACACTGAAGACTATTAATGAAACACACATTAAAACTCTTAAAATTGTATTTGATACATTTATAATTTTGATATATTTTACCTTAGCAGTGTTGAAGTTCAATTTAAAAGTTTGTTGTGTTATGTTTTTGTAGATTTACATGATGTATCATATACATTCATATAATTTAAGTTGCTTATACATAAATGTACTTGGTATATGTGAATAACATTCATGCATAATATACATTACGACTTATGTATCATATATATCAATTTGAAAGTAAACTATTAGATTACTTAAAGTCAAACAGTGATGATTGTGGGGCTTAACGTTATAAAGCAACAAATTTATCTAAAGCAATATAGTGAAAACACAATTTTAATAAATAACAAAATATTGTACTAAGTTTTATGAGAAACACATGAAAAAAAGTGAATTTGTCTTCAAAACAAAACAACATGAAAAGTTGTTCATGCAATCCCTATTAAGTACTAATCTATGTTAACGAAATCTTGTTCAGTTGGTGTTGTGAATTGACCCTTAGGCTTTGGTGGATCGTCATTCTCACTTATGTATCCACCCTTGAACTTGTCGCTATCGTATCTCCACAACAATGTTGCATATCTATTGCGAAGATAATTTGCTAGATGGCCATCAATATCAGGTGGTATAACAAGTTGGTCACTCAAAAACTCTACAAATGTAGCTACATATAACCCGCAGTCCCTACAACAAAATGCAGAATAAAAATTTGTAAAAAAAACTTACACATATGATTGTAGTCAATAATTTAAATACTTACATGCTATCCTCTTCTTGTTGCATGATGCCTTGAACGTATTCAATAGTGAAAGGAACATGTGACTCCAAAAGTGTACCAGTTTGTTTGTCCTTATATGCATCAAGTTCTGGCCAGATTGTCCGCCCATTTTTTTTTAAAGAAACCACTGTCAAGGAGGTAAGAATGTAGCATCCTTGACAACTTTTTTATCTCCTCATAATGTTGTTGTTTCCTTGTACCTATAGAAGAGTTATACACGCGTATCAACCTCCGATTCAATTCAACAACAGCTAACACCCAATGGAACTTTCCATCACAATTAATCGAAATGTAAACATCGTCCACAAGATGCCATGGTAATGCAGCTGGTATTGAAAATCCTTTCATGACGTTGGTTATTGACCTCTCATGTACAGATACAGCTACAACATGATCAATGTGTTATTGGGTACTAATATCATCATCAACCACATTGTTATAATACCTTTCATGGATATTGTTGATATGTGAACTGAACAAACAATTTACTGTTGTGTATCTGTATTGATTCATGCTGCGAAGTTTTGATTTTTTACGAAGATGGTAAAAAACAACATCCATGTGCTACACAAAACATTATAAACATAATTATACATTTAAAAAGAAAAACATGAAAATAAAAAGTTAGATACTGAATTAATATGTATATAACACCTATTAAATGAATGTATCATATACATCAAGATAACTATATATGATACATTTCAATTTAATGTAGCAGAAACATGAAATTTACATATACATGTCATATTTACCTGATCAGTCCAGCAGTTTTTGGGCTGGGACATGGCATAGAACCAATTTTTATTGGATGGATATGCAACAACATAATTCATCATTTCAAAACCTAAAGAAGAGGCTTTTGCTCTGTACTTATCCTCTATTGGTTTCCTGTTTTATAAAGTGTAAAGAAAAAATGTTATTTAAAAGTGCAACAAGATTTGTAATTTCAAAATTGAACAAATGTAGTAAAAAGTATAAAACTTACTTTTTGGCATGTGTTTTGAGAAGACCTGTAGTAACCCACTCAATAAACTCATCAATCAGATATGACGAGGCTTGATTTGTGATCTCACAACCTTCAAATGAAAAATTTGGACGGATTACATCCTCCGTGACCTCTTTTCCTTTTTCACTTGACCCAAATGAAGTCAAATAAGGAGATTTGCAAATTTTTGAAGGCATTCTGATACGTGCAAGAGGAGTATTTGTATTACTTCGGAAAACAATCTCTGTGATTGAAATATCAGGGGGTAATTGACTGTCCGAAAGTAAAATTTTGCTATTGGTTAACTCCTGTGGATTTGCTGCACTAACTGGTTTAACAGGAATAAGCAATCTTCCTAGATCAGCAATAAGTATATGCATGCCTTCTCGAGTTTCAAATGATATTGTACCAGATGTTGTAGAATCCTATATGATTCAAATTGATAATTAAATAAGATTTGATAAACCATATGATATATAAATGATACACATATAATTATCAAGACAGATTACATATAGTAGACAATCAATTTTATTTAGACACACTGATATGTATCTTGCAATGGAATGTATCATATACACATATAATTAAAAATGTAAAGTATCATATACACAAAAATTTGATGTATACAAATCACACAAATAAACTGCAATGTATCATAATCACACTTGTATGTATCTTGTAATGGAATGTATCATATATATATATAATTAAAAATGTAAAGTATCATACACACAAAAATTGGATGTATCATAATCACACAAGAAAACTATAATGTATTATAATGGCACATTTTGATGTATCACTACAAAGTTGATGTATACTAATAGTCAATTTATGATGACAATAGTACCTTCTTATGCTCAGTTGTTTCTGCAGTATGATGAACATTTGCATCTGATGATTGAAGTTCTGAAACTTCATTCATTTCTTGATGATTCTTCAATGTATCTTCAGTCTGTATTTTTTTAAACAAGTTTTTTTCAAACAAAATATGTTACTGATAAATTGTTTAATTAAATATCCGCAATGAATAAAGTAAAAATAAACCTGAACTTCAACATCAAAATCAGTTACACCAATGTCTTGGTCATTAATGGCAAAATCCATCTGTATCGGTGAGGTTGGTTGTTGATCAAACTTGCAGGTACTTGTTTGATGTCCATCATTGACTTCTTTACCGGAAACTTCAACAATGCACGACGTAGACTTGCCGCCCAAATCCTTCAAGAATTAATTTTTTAACAAAATGAGCTATGAAAGTTAAAACACACAAACAAAACAGATATACAACACAATACCTTTGGTTGTTTGTCGTCCTCCCTATTCCTAGAATTCATCATCTCAAAGTGGTTTGCCTTTATCAAATTCACAAGATACTCAAATTTACTGTCAACCTATTCAAAAAAAATTATAATTCAGTTTTATATTTATGAATAAGCAAATAAATATAAATTAATATCATTACTTACGTATTCCTTCATATGTTGTTTCAGTTCTTCATTATCGGGATATACAGACTTATCTTTTTGGACTTGTGAAGAGACATGGGCAAAAGATATATTAGCAGGTGGGGTAGGTGCTTCATCCGGCATTGAAAATGACTGGTTTAATGGCGGCCTTAACTGCTCTGGCAATTCAGGTTCCAACACCTTTGTTTTAGGTGTATCAATTTTCTTTCTCCTTTTGGGTGGTGGTGGAGATGATGTACCAGACACACGTGATGATTTTGTCAATAAATGACGAGGAGGGCTTGTTGAGAAATCCTCAAAACCTGAAGTGGAAGCCCTTGTTTGTACTTTGTTTGGCAGCACTGCTGTTGTGGATGGTTCAGGAGTATGTGCATCTTGAATATCGGGTAAATCAAGGGCCTCAACTTCATCTTGTGTTGGTACAATGTTTAAACATGCATTCTGCATTTTAAAATGGTTGAATGTCATACAATATTGTCTAATACAAAAATTGTTATTTACAAAAAAAAATTAGAAAGCTTATTGAAAAATAGTTAATTGCAAATTTAAAAGTAATGTTACCTCGGAGAAAATGCTAGACATAAACTTTTCATATTTTGGCTTCACAACTACGACACTCTAATTACAAATCCTGGGAATACCATTCGCTACTTTAACAACAATCTCTGGATTTATACTAGATGCACATTCATAAGTCCATACATTGAGTGCATAAGGCATACCAAATAAGCGATACATCTGTTTGCTTTGGTTGAAGTCTTGCCTGAGTGATGTAATTAGCTTATCGAATGCAATCTTTCCCCAAGGATACAATTCATACGTACAATCTTCGACCATTAGAAATTCTTCAATCTTTATGGAGGTCTTACCAAGATGGCATAAGATGAAAGTATTGATGAAGTATAAGATTGCCATCTGAACGGAGTCCTGTGTGGTATCCCAATTACCCATTACAAAACGTTGTATCAAGCGGCTTTTGGTTATGCCTGCAGTTGCATCAGGGAAATACCTTTGTAGTAACTGGCTCGGAGTGGATTCCGGATATGAAAAATCTGTCACATTTCCTTTGCATTTAAGGCCAGTTACAATGGCAAATTCCTTTATACCAAACTGCAATACAGTCCCGTTAGCATGTTGAACATGCAATACATCTTTGTTATCGTGTTTCACCTCCTACAACAACAAGCACTTAGTAATCTGGCCCTGGAAATTACATTTCGAAATGTTCAAATATGGTCCAAAAATTGTATTCTTGAACATTTCAACACCTTCTTCATTTATGGACTTCTTGATT